GAAAGTGGGGGGTGGGGAGGGGCGGAGAAGAAAACGAGGTGAGAAAAGATGAAAGAGATGGGAGGAAGGAAGACCATAGAGAATAAGAATAACATTAAAATAATATTGACTGTCAACTTGAAAAATAGAAATAAATTAAAAAAAAGAAAAAGCAGAGAGAAATGAAACATAAATAAGTAAATAAGTAAGTAAGTAAGTAAGTAAATAAATAAATAAATAAGAAAGAAAGAAAGAAAAAGAATTGTCTTCAGAGGTAAGTGACAGACTCTATGGAACTACTTTGGCTGGTCAAAGCAGGAAAGGAAGTTGAATGTGTAGACCCCAGTCTCATCAACCTGCTTGGAGACTCTGGACAAGTCCTCCACCCACTCTGCTTGCCCCTCAGTTTCCCTACTTGTCAAAGAGGCATGAGAGCGACACCCCCTTCTAAGGTTGGGAGGACAAAAATCACCAAATAGTATAAGAAGGCTTGGGATGTCAAAAGCAGGGACAGAATGACACAAGGTCGTGTCTGTGGGTTCGACTTGGCCTCTCATGGTGCTGTATAGTGATCCAATTCTCTTCAACAATAAAGCATGATAACCGTCTCACTGAGAGCCCTTGCAGAAATAGGAAATTAACACGAGAATCCTCAAAGTTGGCAAAACAGCATGGCCTGTAATGTAATGTATCTCTAGCAATTATCAGGGGCAGACAGCCTAACAAGGTCTTATTATGTAATTTCTTCTTGTGATGAAACTCTAATCTGTTCTATGTTTCATCTTCAGGGACAAAATGCAGTTTACGGCGGGTCCCAAACTTGTTTAAAGGACGGGGGTGTTCCCGCGATTAGTTACATCTGCCTTTCATCAGGGTGAGTTCTGAAGCAGAAGCCAGCCGCGTTGCACTCCTCACGGCCGGGCTCAGGTAAGACGGCACAGAACGTTTTCTGGATTCCACCTGTTCTATGAAACATTGCAGTTCAACAGAGCTCATTGGTTGCTATCAATTTAACCAATCTGGCTGAAAATATTTATATAAGTTTATGATTATTTTTGGAAGGAGGAGTATTGGTGATGGTGTGGGTGGGGTTAATGAATGTCTCAGACAGGAGAGGTGTTTACGCTTGAACTTTTCTTTTTAACTTTTATTTGCATTTATTTCATGCTGAATTTATTCCCAGGCCATAAGTTTTTGTTTCTTCAGTTTCTTTGGGGATATATTTTTCTTCTAGGCAACAATCTACTCTTTTTTTTTTTTTTCAGTAAAGATCATCTCGATCTAGCAGGAGGGGTTTGTGTAGGGGTTAATCCGACCATAAGTTCTGAAAGCCTTGGAGATGTATCTTGGGGGTTTTGTTCACCAAGATGAGCTCACTGACCAGAGAATTGACATCTAAACTCTCAAGGTCGGCCTTACTCTCCGCATTTCTAAGCGTGCGCAGGAAAAACTCAGCACGCTTTTGGGGCCATCCACCTTGTGTCCTGCCCCACTGTTTGGCTTGGGCATTCCACCATCGAAGTGATGAGGTGGCATGTGTTGCTTCTGTAAAGTGACATCTTTTAGAGACTTGGTGTCTTTTCAGATATGCAAACCTTTGATGGTCTGGGCAGTTTCACAGATGCTCATAAAGTGAACATGAAAATCTGAACCTCCTGGTTTGCATGATTTTGTGGGGTTTTCTGGGTCAAGTGAGTAGTGGACCATTTTCAGAGATTATCTCAGGTTCCTTACGGATGAGCTTCAACTTATTTTTGCATCCTGGTACTACTAAGGACTGTCAAGTAATAAAGTCAGAAAAACAGAAGGCAGGACAGCCAGGTGGTGGGTTGGACAAGGACACAGCTGAGAGCGGCTTTCTGTCCATAGCGTTTGTAGACCTGGAGAGCTTTCCATTTACTCCGCCTCTGGATGTCAGAAGGCTCAGGCTGTGCTCCTCTGTGACAGCGGGTGTTCGAAGTCAAAGGATAAACCGGGTGCTTCTCCTTGTGACATCTACTCTATTCAAAGATTTGAGACAAAGAGATCATTGCTTTTATGTTAAATCAAACCAGGTGTGGGAAAGCAAACAGGGCCTGAAGTTTGAGATGAATTTCCCAAGGGATGTGTGCTTGCTGCAGGCAGCTCTGGGCTCTGCCGTCCGTGCAGGTGGCTTGTGGAAGAGTTTGGGGGAACATGCGGTTACATGGCTCATCGGGGGTCGTCTGGCTGGGCACCCACGCCCATGCTGTGCATGTCTTCTAGAATGCCTTTCTTCTCCATCTCTCCCCGCTAAAGTCTGTCTCCAATAAGCTCAGGTGCAGATCTCCCTTTCTTTAGAAACGATTTCCTGTTGGACTGCCCATTGACTCTGTGCTCTCAGTCAATTCCTATCTATGGCACTTACTGATTCCTAGGGACATGTAAGGCCACGTCTCAACTCCTCTCCTGGCCGGTTCTCCTGGAGGGTACAGTCTAAGTGTTGTGCCACCTGACGAGCACTCTGCCTTGTCGAAGGGGGGATCTCAGTAAACCTTTGAAGATAAAGAGCAAATGAGTGAGAAGCTGGTATTCCTAATTTGGGGCCTAGCAGGCGGCTGATTTTATTTCTTTTTGAAAGTGAAAATCAAGAGTGAGTTTGGTCTGGCTAGGGGGTGTTTTCTGAAAGAAGATGAGAGGGAGGAAACTAAAAACCACTCCTCCTAGACAAGTTTTCCTGTTAGGCAACGCACAATCACAGAAGGAGGGTCTTCTGAAAATCCTGACACTGCAGAGACAGCATTTTGACGGGCGACTGTCATTTGTCCTCATTTTCCGAGTCTAAATCGAAAGTGAATTGTTCATCGGTTGACTTCTGCCTGCTGCCCTTCTCTTAGGGATGCAGACTAAATAATTGCCCTCTGTGAATTTTCCAGATGCATCAGTCCCAGTGCACCTCTGACGATAAAGAAATATTAACTGAGAATGAATAGAGTCGTTAAACAAAATTAAATAATTATGATATGTGAAGGACATCATGTATTGTAATCAAATTATAGAAGAAACTTCCATATTTATGGAAGAAAGCTAATTCCCAGAAGACTTCTCTTACGCCATATTCGGGGAATCTTAGTTCTCTTGGGCATCATGTCCTAGTTTGGATACTCCCCAAGTTTGTGCTGTGTCTGAGACTCTCTGGGGCCATTAGCTCTGTCCAGGCCCTTTGTGAGAAGTGTTTAATAGAGGTGAAGTCGGATCAGAAAGGGTTCCAAGTCTATGGCCATGCCACCCTGAACGTGCCCGGTCTCATCTGATCTCGAGGCTAAGCAGGGTCAGGTCTGGTTAGTACTTGGATGGGAGACCACCTAGGAAGACCAGGTGCTGCAGGCATTAAAAAAAAAAAAAAAGAAAAAAAGAAAAAAGAAAAAGAAAGAAAGAAAGGCTTCCGAGTACTAATTCTGGTTCTGAACCTGGCTTTCTTTGTGGCTTTAAGCCAAACAGGAAAGCTTGTCTGCACTTTATTTTTCTTATTTGACAAACGAGGAAGACACTGTTTCTCTGTCAAACGTCTCAACACCTGAATATGAAGAAACTTCAGCCTCCTCTGTCGCCAGGTTTAATTTTTTCTGCGTTTTGGTCATCCTAAGAAATCCGGGGATCCGTTCAGTGCCAGGATGTCTTCCGCAGTCGCCTTCCCACTCCTGGCAGTGAACCCAATTCTGGTTTTACTGGAAAGATTACAGCTAATTTGATAACTTGAACTTGCTCATCATTCTCATTTTCTGCTGACATCTCTCCACGTCTGTGGATGTCTCCCAGTTTCAGACAACGACTCTCCAGAGCTCACTCT